TTTGGAAGGATCAATTGTCAAAGGTTGATTGGGATAATTATCGTTGTTCAATCTGACTTGAACTTTGCGAATGATGGGATCTTGAGTATGGTTCAATGCCACTCTGAAAATGTTGTTGTTGTTTGTCTGAGAGTCTGGCAAGTTTTTGAAACCGACCATTAGATATCTCGCTGGTTTGACGGTGTTGGTAATTGGCCACGTGGTGGATTCTCCCGTTAAAGTCATGCTACCTACCGTGTTACGACGAAGAAAAGCAATTTCGATGTCTTTGGTTAAAGAGTTGAATATTCTCGTTTCCACTTCTACGGAAGGAGTGATTACCGGTATGTAAAGTTGGATATTCGTTATTTCCAATTTAGCGTCAGAGTTGTTTTCACCAAAGAATATCTTGTTGTCGTTGATTTCTCTTTGCAAATGAATTTTATACGGTAAACCTATGGAAACCTTACTGTGTTCCAAGGGACCAAATAAAGGATACAACTTCCAATTTACGTAATTACCCCATCTGTTGTTCTCGACGACGTTGTTGTATTGAAGCGCTCGTTTTTCAAATCCGTGATTTACTCCGCGAGTCACTCTTTCCAGTGTATTTATAGCAACTACCCTTATCCTAGCAAGGTCTGCGTCATTTGCTACAGTTCTGACCGGTTCTTTTAAAACTTCTCCGTCACCGACATCGGGAATCCATCCCGAAACTGAATCGTAGTTTTTGGGATAGAGAACCGTTTTCAACATTGTGTCAAACTCGCCGGGGTGTTTTATGGTCTTTATCGGATTTGAACCAGCTTCCAAAACCATTTCGCTGAATAATGACGGAAAGAAGTTGTTTTCTAAAGTCGTGTTGGTTTGTGGAATTCGATTCTGAGCGGCGTCTTTGATTTTGAAATCGCATCGGAAATGGGCATCGGAAAGCAGTAACCAATTGGACAACGAATTACTTTCAAAGGTAACTCTTCCTCCGTCGTTTATTTGGGTCTTTGTCCCTACCGATGGTGAGATGATTACGTAATCCTCTTTCTTCTTGTTGAACGAATATTGAATCGG